CCTCTCTCTCTTTGTCTCTCTCGGTCTCTATCTCACTCTGTCTCTCTGTCTCTCTCTTTCTCTCTGTCTCTCTGGTTGATTGCACACCACCCCTCGTCTGTGCTCAGAAATAGAAAAAACATAAACATTTGCCAAGCGGAAGCCGCGTTGTCTCTGATTCGAAAGCGAAACTGCATACAGTTGCGAACGTGTTGTCTGTGCCTTGTTGATCTGAATTCAGAACCTAAGGTAATGATCAGATGGCTCTGGTGGTTTATTGTAGCTGAATGCTTTGCATTGTAGACTAGTATAGATCTAGATCTAGACTCTAGATGGTGTATCGTGTAGAACCAAACAAGACTCACAGAGTCTCCCGAGGGAGAGAGACCAGATCTAGACCACCTTAGATCTATATATCTAGATATAAATTATTATAAATATAAATATAGATCTAGAATCTAAACCTAGGCCTAGGCTTGCCTCTCCTTCTTTGTAGTCCCTCACTTATTATAACTAACTAATGTCCACTGGAACTGCATGCAATGTACTGGCCTTTGTAGAGCTAAATCTAAGTTTGTTTGAAGTTTGATGGGAATAGCACACAGTGAGCCTAACCCTAATTACTAATACTAATTTAGTAAAACAAATTTAAACTTCCTCTATTACCGAGTATTGGCATTCACTAATTAATGACTAGATTCTAGATCTAATGGCAATGTTACATCTATCTCAGCTGGGCACTTTGTAGAGCTAAATCTAGGGTTGTTTAGAAAAGCGTTTGATTGTATGCTTCCTATTACTATTATTATCATTACTGACTTAGAATGGCATTCACTAACAAATGACTATAATGGCAATGCTTGATGCTAGATCTAAGGTTGTTTAGTGTTTGATTGGAAATGTCTCACAGTGAGCCGAACGGTTTTAACTAATTAAATGTTGGGGGCTCGGTTGACTAAGTGAGTAGTCCTAGATCTAGAAATCTAGATCTAGAATCTAGTGAGTTTAGACTCAACAGTAATACCCTTGTGGGATAAAAAAAACTGTAATTAGTAAATTTATCTCTTTACTACTTTGAAGTCTGTATTCCATGAGTAAGAAACGCGAGCGATTCTTGAATTAAAAAGTGGAGACCTCGAACGGTCATTTAAGTTTGGGAAATTTTTCGCAGCTCGTCCGACACAAAAGCATAAGCCTAGACTTTTTGTCGAATAACTTTCGATCCCGTTTACTTTTAACCTAGATTCTCTAAACGGCACTCTTCGAGGGAAGTGATCCCGGCTTAACACCATAGAAATAACACTAAGACTTGTAGTCAGAAACAAAAACAGAAGTCGAATAAAAAAGCTGTCTTCGGTAATTTTTTTTCCTTACTTCAAGTTTAGAATATTTCCCACATTATTTTTTTAATCGGCTTCCTTTTTTGTTTCCGATTGCAAGTGTTATTTCTACGGAATTAGGCCGGGACTACTTCTCCCGAAGAGTGCCCTCTAAACGAGTGACAACCCCGTTTTGTCTTTTCGAGCAAAACTTTTTTCAACGTTATATATTGGTGTGGAAGGGCACTTTTCTTATAGAGGCCAGAATATTGCTCGATATGAGTCGGGCGGAACTATTTTCTTACGGATATCGATATGTAAATGGGACAAACTGATACAAGACCGGGAACGGTAGCTCGATAACATTAACAATGGGTGCCGTCTGTCTCAAGTCATCCGTAAGAAAAGCGTGTCTTTTCATCGGACAGGCTACAGCACGAGCAAAAATAGTTTTGGTGTGGACGGACATCCCCGCTCCGTCCCTCATGTTTAAACCGACTGCGTCAGTGTCATTTTGTAGGTATTAATTTTAAATAACGTTTCCAAGCCCTCTGACCTGGTAACCGTAACAGTTTTGGTCAGGTCCATTTTTCCCCTTCTCTTTCCCCCGATCTCGGAATCTTCGCGGACGCAGTATCATGTCTGGAGAGGAGCAGCGCCAGCCGTTTGCCAGCGACAAGGAGACGGTGAGTTCTCACGCATCCTCAATCCCGCACACACGCACGCACCAACACCAACACACACACACACACACACATACACTCGCGCGCGCTTGGAAGTCCGACCCGAAATAGGTATATTTCATTAAAACATTTCCAGTCGAAAGTCGGGCTTGAGTTGTTTTCTTATTCGTACATTCATATAATATAAGTGAGACAAATTATCGATAAAAGGCCAATGCGACAGCCATATATACATATATTGTACGCACACAAACACACGCACATTATGCATTCATGCACGCACGCACGCACGCACGCACGCATGCACACACGCTTGCACGCACTCACGCACACACTCAGGAAAAAAAGACAGGACGAGAGAGGGGAGAGAGAGAGAGAGAAAGAGAGGGAGAAAAAGAGAGAGAGAGAGAGTCAGCAGCACTTCCCGGTGTGTCCCGTAGGTCTGCGCTCATAGAAAAAGCTCACTTTGGGCGTATATTAAAATTTTTCCAGTCTAGCGGAAAATACAAATCATCGCCAAACATTTCGTGAAAGAGAAAAAAAATATTTTGAAAATAAGGGGCAAAGATGTTGTCACCCCATAACCCCTAATCCCCCCCTCTGTCCCCTCCAACCCACCCTCTTTCTCTTTCTCTCTCTCTCTCTCTCTCTCTCTCTCTCTCTCTCTCTCTCTCCCTGTCTCACTCTCTCTCTCTGTCTCTCTCTCTCTCTCTCTCTTTTTCTCTCTCTCACTCTCTCTCCACATACATACACACACCCACACGCACGCACGCACACACACACACACACACCATACCCCCCCTCTCTCTCTTCCCCTCCCCCCTCTATCTCCTCCCCCCCTCTCTCTCTCTCTCTCTCTCTCTTTCTCTGTCTAGGTCATTAGAACCAGAAAACCTTCCTCTATAATGCACATGTACTGAAAATTGGCATGAATCGGAAAGAAGGAAATTTGTTAAAATGCCGTTTATTGGTATATTATCGAAAATGGCAAATATCGATACTCAACTATTTCAGAATCGCACGTTATATCTCACAATGCAAACATCTTAAACCACTGTACGGGACTGTGTTCCTTAAAACTTATGTTTCTTATCCAAAATATGGGACTTTGAGTTCTAAACCTAAAGATTTTTAACGGGAAGCTAAAAAAGTTAGAGTAGTAATGTACATTGAGTAATCGATACTAGTAGCCACGTGTACAAGCTATCTACAAATGAGAAATGAGAGAAAGTGGGGGTGTGGAGGGAGGAAGTAAGAAGAAGAAGAAGAAGATGAAGAAGAAGAAGAAGAAGATCCAGCCTTAACCATTATTACACAACAGACCGAAGTACAGACAAACATGTTGGTGCACGAACAAAAGCACAGAAAAAAGACGAGGTGTGCAAATCTGCTCTTCCCGGTGTGTCCCGGAGGTCTGCGCTCTTCGATAAAGACGCACTGTGTGCGTATTTTATTTCAGTGGACAAACCCTTCGTGAAAGAGAAAGACAATCGTTTGAAAGCCCATTAAGTTTAAGTTGTTATCTCCCCATACACCTAACCCCCCCCCCTCATCTCTCTCTCTTTCTCTCTCTCTTTCTCTCTCTCTCTCTCTCTCTCTCTTTCTCTCTCTCTCTGTATATTATAGTTTAACTCGCTTGGTCTTTTACGTTCAGTCACGGCTTCCATCGCCTTTCTTCGGTAGATTGCACACCACCCCTCGTTTGTGCTCAGAAATTAGGAAAAATCGGAAGCGGAAGTTTTACTTGACATGCGCCGTGCCTTGTCTCTCATTCGAAAGCGAAACCAGATACTGTGCGAACGTGCTGTCTGTGCCTTGTTGATCTGGATTCAGAACCTAAGGTAATGATCAGAATGCTATGGTAGTTTTTGTAGCTGAAAGCTGGGCAGTGTAGGCTAGTATAGATCTAGATCTAGATTCTAGATGTTGTATCGTGTAGAACCAAACAAGACTCATAGCTAGGCTTGCCTCTCCTTCTTAGCTCTTAGTCTTAGTCCCTAACTTACTACTTAGTATAGAGATTCTAACTTATGACCACTGGCACTGCATGCAGTGTACAGGGGTAGGACTGGCCTTTGTAGAACTAAATCTAGGGTTTTGTGTATAATGGGAATAGCACACGGTGAGCCTAACCTTAATACCTAATACTAGATCTAATACTAGATTCTAGATCTAGAATCTAGATTCTAGATCTAGAAGATTCTAATACTAATTTATAACTAGATCTAGATCTAGATCTAATATTTAATAAAACAAAAGCTTCACTAATTAAGGACTAGAATCTAGATCTAGATTCTAGATCAAGATCTAATAGCAATGCTAGATCTATCTGAGCTGGGCACTTTGTAGAGCTAGAATCATGGGCTGTTTAGAAATGTGTTTGATTGGAAATATCACTCGGTGAGCCAAAGGCTTCTAGTCAACCGAGTGAGAATCCTATTATTATATTATTACCGACTAATGGCATTCACTAACAAATGAGTAATGGCAATGCTTAATGCTAGGACTTGGCTTTGTACAGCTAGATCTAGGGTTGTTTAGTGGTTGATTGGAAATGTCGCAGGGTGAGCCGAACGGTTTTAACTAATTAAAAGTTGGGGGCTCGGTTGGCTAAGTAAGTGAGTGGGTCCAGATCTAGTGAGTTTAGACTCAACAGTAATGACAAGCAAATGTCGGTGTGTTGACACCGTTAACCAAACTGCCCCTCTGGGATCAATAAAATTGTAATTTTTAAATGTGTCTCTTTAATGGTTCACTTTGAAGTCAGTATTCCATGAGTAAGAAACGCGGGTGATTCTTGAATTAAAAAGTGGAGACCTCGAACCGTCATTTCAGTTTGGGAAATTTTCTGCGCTCGTCCGACGCAAAAGCATAGGCCTAGATTTTTTGGCGAATAACTTTCGATCCCGTTTACTTTTAGCCTCAATTCTCTAAACGGCATTCTTCGATAGGAGTGGTCCCGGCTTAACTCCAAAGAAATAGCACTAAGAGTTTGTAGTCGGAAACAAAAAGGGAAGTAGGGTAAAAAAGCTGTCTTCGGTATTTTTTTGTCGTTCTATTTTAGAATATTTTCATCCTGATTTTTTTCTTCATCGGGTGGCATTGTGACCCTGGCAACTCAAGCCAGCTTTTTTAATCGGCTTCCGTTTGTGTTTCCGATTGCGAGTGTTATTTCTATGGAATAAGGCCGGGACCCCTAATTCTCCCAAAGAGTGCCCTCTAAACGCGTGACAACCCCGTTTTGTCTTTTCGAGTAATACTTCTTTCAACGTTACAGATTGGTGTGGAAGGGCACTTTTCTTGAGAGGCCAGAATAAAATATTGCTCGATATGAGTCAGGCGGAACTATTTTCTTACGTATATTGATGTAAATGGAACAAGACCGGGAACGGTAGCTCGATAACAATGGATGTCATCTGTCCCAAGTCATCCGTTAAAAAAAGCGTGTCTTTTCGTTGGAAGGGCTACAGCACGGGCCAAAATAGTTTTGGTGCGGACGGACATCCCCGCACGGAACCTCAATTTTTAAACCGACTGCGTCACTGTCGTTCTGTAGGTATTAATTTTAAATAACGTTTCCAAGCCCTCTGACCTCGTAACCGCAACAATTTTGGTCAGGTCCGTTTTCCCCCTTCTCTTTCCCCAGATCTCGGAATCTTCGCGGAGGCAGTATCATGTCTGGAGAGGAACAGCCCCAGCCGTTTGCCAGCGACGAGGAGATGGTGAGTTGTCACGCATCCACAAACCCACACACACACACAAACACACACACACAAACACACACACACACACACACACACACACACACACACACACACACACACACA